TTTCATAGAAAATATGAATCTTAAAAAATGTCTTAAAATAATTTTCGGACTTTGTCTATTTCATGATATATATATATATATATATATATATATATATATATATTAGAGTGTGCAGCTTATATTTTATATCGTAAAGAAATAATTTATAGAAAGAATTACTTAGCAATGTTAATGTAAATTATGATTGCTATCAATCCCTTAAATAATAATATCCTCATATTCGAGCTGATTTCGCGAACTTATAGCTGTTCGAAATTCAAAGTAAATTCTCAGCTGATCGATTTGAACAAGAAATCTAGCATCGCATTATTGCACATGCCAAAACATACTCAACTGTCAGTAACTAGCCTATTTAAAAAAAAAATCTTACGGGCTACACATATTTCGTATTACTGTCTGCCTATGAATGGGAAAATTACGGCCTGAAGATGACAATATGAAATTGACGAAAGTACTTGCATGCGTTTTCCATTTGACAACAACACAACTATAAAGATCGTATAATTCAAGTAATTGATAGAAGTTAATGTCACGTAAATTCTTGTTAACGAAGGCATTTCACCATTAATCATATTAACATTGCTAATTAAATCTTTGTATATATATATATATATATTATTATTATTAATTTTTTTATTTTTTTATTATTCTTGTTTATTAATATAGAATTCACCTTACATTAAATCCCTAATTTCCTTGTGCGGAATATTTAAAATGCTAACAAGCATCAAATGTATTTTCTTTATCGAGTTTTTAAACAGTTAAATTACTATCAATCGTTAAAATCTGTTTTTGCCTAAATAGTTAGAGCTATACCACCCCACTTCTTCCTTCACAAATCCTCCGTACAACTGTTATGTCTTTGCTTCCTACTTTTTTCGTTTTCCTTTTTTTTCTCCTCTACCTTTTCGCATATCATTTCCGTTGAGTTGACTGATTAAATAGTTCAATGTCTGATTCTTACCTCCTCCTTCCTCAATATTGAGTATTATAAAAAGAAATATAGAAATAAATGTTAAAACTCTCCCTTCCCTCTCTAAACTAAATCATGTCTCTCATACCATCCCTCACCACCCTCTATGTCAACTTATATAAGCTTCATACTGCCCGTCAAAAGTGTAAATTTTAATTTCAGTTTTCGTTTCACTTTTTGAAAGTGAAGTCTGAGGATCCAGAGAAGGATAATATTATCTGGTGAAATAAATTATTACAATGGAGACTTAAACTGATCTGTTTTTCTTTAAATTAAATCTCAAGATTTCAAGATTTCCATACGGATTATCAAAATGTGTGTGTGTGTGTGTGTGTGTGTGTGTGTGTGTGTGTGTGTGTGTGTGTGTGTGTGTGTGTGTGTGAAAAAAATTAGACACCCCAACTTTTCCTGACTTGACCTCTTTGGATGTAACTGAGATATTGATACAAATAATTAATCCTTACGCCCCTTTTTTAAAACATTGCTCAAGCCGTTACCATAATAATTATAATTTTAATAATGAACATGCTTATAGAAACGCGTAGATTTCAAGAATTAGTTATTGCAAAAATTTCGCTTGAATATGGAACAGAGCTTAGTACTTTAATTCAATTTAATTCAAATAATTATATTGAAGTTTTCGGCTCTTGTTTTAAAACACGAGAACTCTTATGTAGCGATGGAATCATATTTTTACATAATTATATATATATATATATATATATATATATATATATATATTGATGCATGTTTCATTAAATAATATAGACAAATTTTGTCTATTTATTTTATGTAAATTCTATTCATATTGTCCGATACGATTAATAGCATTATCATTAAAAGAAGAAAGAAAATCACAATACTGATACATATTTTTTTAATCCCATCTATGCTTTCGGCTTACAAAAGCCATTATCAAAAATTACAATTACATTACAATACCTTAAACAATACACGGAAACAAACTATAATGATAGTCAGTTTTTGTTTACATGGAAGATTTCCAGGCAACGATAAACTCGTGCATATGAGACGCTGGAAATGAAAATCGCACCGCAGCTCATGACGTCACACATGACCACGCGAGAGTGAAAAGAAGTATCAATGAATAAATGCTGGCTAAATACACAATATATATATATATATATATATATATATATATATTTAAGACATTTTTATATTTAACATTCATTTTATAGATACATATATTTAAATTAATGCTTTGTTTATAATAAACAGTATTAAACAACATTTACAAGCCGGAATCTCCGACAAATTTTCACAGAAAATATTTGTCCTCTGACAGGATTTGAACCTGTATCCTATACGGAATTGTCATTTAGTTTGACGTGCCTTTACCGATTTGGCCTCGAAAGAGCGTTCGGTTAGCACGGTCGAATTTACTGTATTTAAACTTCTATCTTCCATGAATCTCTCACGAATACGAATCTCTCACGAGGACGAATATTTTCTGTGAAAATTTCTCGGACATTCAGGCCGGTAAATGTTGTTTAATACTGTTTATTATAAACAGAGCATTTACTTAAATATTTGTATCTATGAAAAAGAATATTAAACATAAAAATGTCTTAAAAATAATTGTCGGATTTTGTCCATTTCATATTGTGACGTCATTTGTTTACATTTGATACGCCATGAGCAGACATGAATGTACGTGAGAGATTTATATATAGTTGAAGATCAAATGTAAATTATGTACGAATAGGAATCCGACAAGATGATAAAATATAACATATCTCAATGTAACATGTTTTACTTTCATTAAAACTTCGACAGACATCGAGAAATCCATATGAATAACGACAACAGGAAATGCTAACTCACACGACGCGTTTCGTCCTCCGATGGTCTTTATCAAGTCAAATGTAAAATATTTATTTTCCAACAAGCGAATATAAAAAGAAGCATAGTTTGTTTTTTCAGACTTTTTAAATTTAACAATGCCCATAAATATACATTAGGCTAATTGAAAGTCAAAATAAATGATAGAGAATTTTAAGTGCTGCAATTTATTTTCATGTCAAATACAAGGAAAATATTTAAATTGTATTGCTTTTGACTTCTTAATTAAATTATTGTTTCTATTATTTTAGTTTGTTTTGTGATGTCAACGAACACTCGTTGCCATTTTTGTGCTCTCAACGAATACTCGCTGTCAGTTTCGTAATGCTTGTTGTAGTAGAGACTTTGTAATCGCAGATACAATTATAGTAACACCGTTCGACAATATTAGTGTCAGACGCCTTTGAATATCACTCGCTCTAATAGTAGTTGATCGATAATACTCGCTCGAAAAGTTACCACCGTATTGATTCGAGTATAGAAAAGTGTAGAGAAGAGAATACAGAATAGCGATCCGTATAGTGATAGAGGATAGACTAGAAATAGCGATCGTTAGTCGCCAGCTACTTCCTACATATACTCATTTCCTCGATGGTCATGTGATGTACTTAATTCAACAATGAGATCGCCTGTGATTTCTCACTGGCGATCTATGTTCAAAATCAATTGTCGACAAATATACTTTATTCATATAGAAGAGTTTGATATTAATTTATGTATTATGTATTTGAAATAAAAGTTTATCACCGTATTGATTCGAATATAGAATAGTGTCGAGAAGAGAATAGAGAATAGCGATCCGTATAGTGATAGAGAATAGACTAGAAATAGCGAGCGTTAGTCGCCAGCTACTTCTTACATATTTCCTATGATCTATGTTCAAAATCAATTCTCAGAAAATATATTTTATTCAAATAGAAGAGTTTGATATTATCCGTGTATTATGTATTTGAAATAAAAGGTATTGAATTTAATTTTATTTATTTAAATTTGTTTTAATTTTTATTTTAAATAAGATAGTCATGTTTATTCACTTGGAAAATAGTATTTCTTTCATGAAAGAAGATATTTTATATAAAAGCCGGACCGCAGATTTACATTTGGTATAAATATTAAATAAATCCCGAATATTAAAATAACAGTAAAATTAAGATATAGCTATAAATAAAGTGATAATAAGTAATTTACTGTACCCTTATACTTTGGACACATATGGTACATTAAATATTTATCTATATAGCCAATTCCGATTTAAGAGTACCTTTCAGACAACATTGTGAAACTGAACATGTGGTACTTTGACTATAACCAGAAGAACCCCTTTATATAGGCATGAGTGAATTATACGTCTATATATCTATATCAAGTCATATACCCACGCAGTCGTAGTTGTGTTTGCATACATAATTTTATGAGGAAACTTTTTTTTAGAACGAATTATTAATTCTGCTTCTTTTGTAAAGAATTTTATTCACATAGCTTTTATATTTTCTTTATGTGACAGTGAATAATGTTAGTGTCCACGAGGAATATCGAAATATTTTAGAAATCATTTTTTCACCATCTTTTAACTGGAAAATCTTATATATGTACAGCGTGTCCGTAAAAACGACAGGCAGTTTCTTATGAAGATAACCAAAAACAATACACGCCGCCTGTCCGATTTCCAAAAAAAACTCTGACTATATTTCCACTGTCCTGGGTATGACGATAATCTACAACCGCGCCATGCGTAATACGATAAACTATGTCCGCGCCCTGGGTGAGACGATTAACTACATCCGCGTCCTGGGTCAGACGATAAACTACCCCCGCGTTCTGTTTAAGACGATAGACTACACCCGAGAGTGAAACCTTTGATTAGGAGATTTTGAGGAGCATGGGATCATCTTTTAATTGCCGGTGTCCACATGGCCACCCTGACACGGGGTGGTAGCACCTGTCAGGTTCCCAGTTATGGGCAAATATTTACCCCCGCCTAAGGGGGTCACACTACGAATGTATAAAAATTGGTTTTAATACCAGCAATGCATGTTTGGAAAAATTATTACCACTAGTACATTTTTGAAAAAGTAAAATGTTACCAGAACTACATTTTTGAAATAAAAATTACCAGCAATAAAAATCTTTAAATAACCCATTGAGGTGTTGATATGTCAAATCACGGTCAAATCACTCTGAAACACCGGTTCTCGTACGATCACCGAAGTTAAGCATCGTAGAGCCAGGTCAGTACTTGGGAACACCTGGTACTGTAAGCCCCCAAACTCACAGTCGGTGGGGGGGGTAAACGGTAGTGTCAGAGCTATGCCGCCCAGAATTTCGTTCCTGGTAGGGCCACCCAAGGCGGACAGGTCTGACACACACGCCGGCTAACAAGGGCTCTGGTGAAAATCCAAGGAGCGTCTGCATCGGTAACCGGCGGCTTCTGGTCGTTCCTGTCTCTGCGTCTGTGGGAACCCCGCGGCAAGCAAGAACGTTATCCGAGTAGGCCTGGGTACCCTACTTCTGTAATTTATCCCAAGAATCTTGTTCTCACAACAGGAAGAAGCCGGCTCAATCCGCCCGGGGTGAATGTCGCATCAGTTGATATGCCGTAAAACAAACCAACTGAAACGAAACCAAATTTCAAGCTTTAAACTTATCATTAAAAAGTCTTCTCATGTAGGTAGAACATTTTAATCACCTTCTTGGCGAACACTTTTCATTTTTATATATATATATATATATATATATATATATATATATCGACGTCGAATTCGACGGGAGAGTCGGGTATATATATATTACCCGACTCTCCCGTCGAATTTGTTTATGAGGGTCAAGCAAATCAGTTCCCCGGAAATCGACAGCCGGACAACAGCACATTTGATTACAGTAATGAAGGTTTCATGCAGGACCATCCACACATTTTGAAGGGCCGAATACAAAGACCTGGTGCACTAAGTGCCACAGGGCCCCTATACGACCCTTCAGGTTTTGAATTCAGAGTTGTCCTTCTCCTAGACCAGTTATCATCCAAGGCTATAGAACCCAGTCGGTTCTGCTATTTACCCATAGCTGGAGGGAGAAGAAGAGGATTCACACCTTTCCCAAGGCTATTAGCACAAGTGAATGTAATGGATTCGACTGGAATTCGAACTCGACTGTCCAATTCCTATATATATATATATATATATATATATATATATATATATATATATATATATATTAGTAACACTTTAGTTTTCTTGTTTTCCATTAGAGTGATAATATTGAATCAATCGCGATCTATGCTGCTAGGAAAGTTGGTTCACTGTGTCGTGGTAGACAAGTTCTATCATCAGAATCTATTTTAAAAATAAATCTCATTGTTTTAGTGTCGAATTAACCTAATATTTCAATGGTTTCTTTACCGATTTCACGTCCTGGGTATGACGATAAACTACATCCGACAGCCAGGCCTCTGATCAGGAGGTTTTGAGGAGCATGGAAACCACCTCTTCATTGCTAGTGTCCCCAGGTCCATTCTGACTCGTGGAGGTTGCATCTGTTAAAGTCCCAAATCTGGGCAAATAGTTGACCCCGAAACTGAGGTCAAAACACTATGAAAGTTTAAAAATAGGTTTTTAATACCAGCAATACATTTCTGAAGAAGACTTTTACCAGCAATACATTATTATCAGCAATACTTTTTTGAAGGAAAATATTACCAACAATACTTTATTACCAGCAATAAATTTTTGAATGAATCGGAAAGCCATGTTCAAATTTAAGTCGAATTCATTATATTAACTTCGCGTACTAACTTCAATTACATCTAAGGGAAAGAGGTTATAAAATTGTGAGTGACATTTCGTGGATTCCAATAGAGGATTTTGAAACTGAACGCTTTATTCAATTTATATAAGTGATTTTTTTTTTGTTTTTTTTCTCATTCCGCTGACGACATATAGGTTTTTTTTTTCGTCTTGGTTATTAATCTTTTTTTTTGTATGTAAAGGTGTGAGAAACAGTAACGCGATATCCTAAGAAATTCTTGCGATATCTCTCTGGTCAGAAAGAGACAAGAAGATATCTTCTTCCATACTCCACGACATGATATTGCATCTATCTTATGAAAAGAAGCCATTGCAGAGTAATGGATTGCAGATTGATAAAACGGAGAACCCAGTTCAGTTACGCGCTAATATCCCTGGAAAAGTCATGAATCCAACGCTTTTTCCCCTGCTATGGATAAATAGTAGGACAAATTGAGCTCTATAAACTTGGGTGGCGACTGATCTACCACAGGAAGAGATAACAACCTATTGCGGGAATATATTCTGCATAGTCAGTCATTACTCGAAAGAGACACGATCGCCCAGACGTTTATTCCGTATGGCGCTTAACTTGTATTATAAGAAAGAGATGATTTCTTGTCCGTCATAGACTGTCTGCTGCGATTTTGCATGCCCTCAAGTAACGATTTTGCTGTAAATATCATAAGTACATGAAATGTACTTATGTCATTTTAATGTATACGGATGTCGATGCACATGTCGTGAGTGGGAAATAATAATAACACTTGTTAGCCAGGAGTGAGGAAAAAGACGGAAATAAAATCGCGAGCCTATGTGAAATTTTCTTTGAGCGAATGTAAACCTTGCCTTTACAGAAATTGGCCCGTGCGCTGAAACGAATGCGGAAAGAAATTCGTGTGCCAATGTGAAATTGTTTCGGACCAATGAAAAGCTTGTCTTCACAGAAATTAGCTGTTGAGCCAAGAAGAAGAAAGAAAATAAATTCGCTAGCCTATGCGAAATCTCATTTGATATAAAATGAGTAGGGTTATATTGATAAGTGAAGAGTGCCAGAAGTGTGGTGAAAGGATTCGCATTTGTTCACCGCGTCAAGCGTTGAAGTTTTCGCCAGTGTCACATTAATCGCCAATTATGCTATCGGGTCTAATCAAGCACGGGTTTTCTCTCAACAATCCATGATAAGTATTTAAAATATATTTCTTCGTCTACTTTTAAACGTATGCAACCATATACCGCTTCGTTCAGCAATAATCTCTTTTAACCTTTGTATAAAACATTTTTTTAATATTATTTTGTGTCAGATCATTTTATCTGTTTTATGAATATTTCCTCTTCATGAAATTCGTTAAACTAAAAAAAATAAATTCTGATTGATTTTTTTCTGAAACAATCTAGCTTCTAGCCTGTAAATTCCTGAAAAAATCACTTATCTTTTTTTGTGAAAATTATTCGTGTGTTTTCTCGTCATTATCACCCTTGTTTAATCTTGGTGTGGGTAAATCAATTATTCATTTTAACCCCTAGACTCACTCCACTATACACAAACAGGCTTCTACAGTGTGACAAAATGTGAAATAAGATATTGGGATAAAACTTTTCATTCCACTTAGTCTGGACAACTCCAGACCTGGGCTGAGCAAGAAAATAATTAAATTGGTAACAAAAATTTATAAAGCATAAAAATATAAGTTAAATACAAAATTGCATTGAACATTTTGGAAATTACACGAGAATAAAACGAATTATTTTTATAATTTTGTAGAAATGTTTGAGTTCTTTTCTGAATTGATTTATACATGAGCACACGCAAGCGTACATATGAGGTCTCTCTCTCTCTCTCTATATATATATATATATATATATATATATATATATATATATATATATATATATATATATATATATATATATATATATATATATATATATATATATATATACCATATATATATATATATATATATATATATATATATATATATATATATATATATATGTTTTTTTTTTTGGGGGTTTTTTCATTCCGCTGACTACATATAGTTTTTTTTTCGTCTTGTTTATTAATTTTTTTTTTATTTTGTATGTAAAGGTGTGAGAAACGGTAACGCGATATCCTAATATATATAACTATATATATATATATATATATATATATATATATATATATTAGGTAGGTCGATTTTGGAACTGTAAAAAAGAATAACTTGAGGAAAGTTGCAAAATAACATCAAAAATTACCACCAAAAATATTTTTCTTCAAAACTTCGTATTTATTTGAGCAATCGAGCTTAACGACAAAATAAATGTGTATGTTAAATTAAAACCGAGTCTTAACGAAAAGAAAAAAAAGAAAATAACGCTTAATAATGGATATTTTTGAGTTTATTATCCATTCTCTTATTAAATTAAATGAAATTACTACAAATTTAAAATACAAATAACTACTCATGAACGGTGTCGTTTTTACTGGATATTTTTTCGGTATTTACCGGTAGTAATAACCTCCTCTTGTCTGTTCGTTTTATTTTTGTTTACGCTTTTAACTAGCGCAAAAATCTATTTTATTTTTCATCAAAATATACTTAACTATTTAAAAAAATACAACTTTTTTAATTATTGTAATTTGTTTATTTTTGAAAATTAATGTTTTATTAAAAAGCCTGTTTCCAAGCTAATCCCGGAATTAACTCTACTTTTATGTAAATAAACATTACTTTTAATTTAATAATGCATTTCAAACTTTATTTTCCAATTTATTTTGAAAAATATTTTTGTATAATTTCTGATAATACATATATTTTCTTTGTCAGATATTTTAATAAAAATGTCAGGAAAAACATCCCAAAGGGCCTAGCATACCGTGAAATTTTGATAAGGCTATATAGCGGCGAGCCTTATCAAAATTCCACGGAATGCTGTTGAGTTGATCAGGGGTGATGTATCTTCCAATCTTGGAGCCAGCCTTGCCAATGCATTGCTCTTGGATTTGAGGGCTATGAGCCTTCTTATCCCCAATATTAATATAAAAAGATATTTATATAGATAAATGTAAAATTGATAGAGCAAAGGTTAAAGTGAAAACAAATGCCCATCAACAGCATGATGAAAAGGTGGAAAATTTTTGTATTAGAGTTGATGGGAGAACTGACAAAGACACACTAATGTACAAGGAAATAGTGGAGGAAAATGGAGAGAAGACTGGAAAAAAGACCATGAGACCAGAACGCCACTTGACTGTCACAAAAATGAAAGTAAATATATGACATCTAAGGTTCTTCCTAATATTGGTGCAATTGTTGTGGTTCTTGCCGAGCAAGTGGCTTAATTTTTGCATGAATTCAACAGTATCAAGGCTATCCTTGTTGAAAAACACTAATGCCAATTCAGGCTGTGAAGGTGGATTTGCTGCACCTCTAGAAAGAAAACTTAACAGAAATCCTCATACTATTGGTTTCTCCTTGCACCA